TCCACCCTTTGTTGACCTCTCTTTTTGTTACCTGTTCGTTATTAAAATGCTTTATTTTACATCCAAATTTAAGTTTTGATTCTTGAAGTGAAGTGGTTGTTGCTAAGTAGTACCTGTTTGGCATTTGAGTTCTTGGGAGCTACGAAGTAGTTTCCTTCACTGAAGATTGTGGGGTTTGCACTTCCACCTATTGCGTACATTTTCCACTCGTCGTATCGATTGTTGGCAACGTGGGTGTAACCGAACCTAACCCTATATCATTATTAATACCCAAATAACAAAACATTAGGGATATTCATATAACACTCCGTTCGATTACAAATTTAGTCTTAAACTACGAAGAAATTTTAATTATAAGTAAAGGGTTAGTCTTTAATTTACGCTACCAGAAATAATGGATATGATAGCTAACAAAAAAAAAATATATATATATATATATATATTATTGCAAGTATTTGTAGCATTTTCTAGTAAATTTTGATACCTGAGAATATTAAAAGCCTGAGATTTTTTGTAGAGTTAAATGGATGATGAAATATGAATATATGACTTTTACCTCGGCATCCTCTCGATAAGGCCAGCTCCGAAGCGGTTAAAGACAATGGTGACCCTCATAATTTTATCATCGGTGAACCCATCATTATGTCCGAGCAGCATCACCTATCAAAAACCAAACCCAAATTTTAGATATTGTTTTCTACGTTGATGAGAGATTTCTACACTCTTATAAAAATGTTTCGTTTTACTCTGTAACTGAAGTGGAATCGGACAGAAACGATCTTAAAAAGAACAACATTCTTACCTTGTCATGCTGGGAGAAGTAGTTATTTGAGACAGTAACAGCGGTGGAAGCATGAATGATATCAATAAGTCCATCAGTGGATCGAGCTAAGTAACAATGATCAATCCAAACATGGGAAGAACCAAATATAGAAATGGCATCACCATCAGAGCCTCTACGTTTGCCAACATGCGTGACACTGTCTCTAACAAGCCCAGCTTTGGCAGGCTTACAATCATGGATACTAATTCCATGTATAATAACATGGCTAACCCTTTGCACCGTAATGCAAGGCCCATAAGCAATCTCCACATTAGCGCCACGTCCATCAATGGTCTTGAAACTATTTATCATCAGCTCATTCTTCAACACAATAACCATGCTCTTAGCAAACACAACCCAAAGTGGCTTATTTTGAATCACACCATAACGCAACGTTCCATATTTGGGGTTTGAAGGGTTGTCAGATGGGTCGGTGACTACGTAAATGGTGCCAAATTTGCCTCCAATTGCGTCCTTGCCGTAGCCCACGGCGCAGTTGGCTAAGGCTTGGCGGTTTTTGGCCCAATTGGAGGATGAACGCCAGCAAGAGTCGATTATGTTCATGTTGTTCTTGGTTGGGGTGTAGTAATCTTGATGGGAGGATTGGATGAGTGAGAGAATGATGAGAAGAGTTAGAAGAAGGTGGGATGATGAGGAAGCCATGGCTACAAGGAATGCACAGTTTGAAGAGGGTTTGATGAACGAGGTGACTTTGAGGGGCTTAAATATGTGGATTGGAGTATGGGGAGAAGTGGAGGTCACGATCTAAGAAGACAATTTAGTCACCTTTTTTAAGTCAGATTGTTAAACGTGACTGCACGGCTTCATTTTGGGCTTACTTGTTCCAAGAAGTTAGATATCATATAATATTGAGGCTGCACCAAATAAATGGGCAAGATCCATGTCTCTGAGAGTGTTGATTGAATTTTGATCTATTATATTCAACATGTGAGCTCCTACATCGTAACTGGTCAATATATATTAGTAGTGAGTTTGGGCTATTATAAATGATATTAGAGTCAGACATCGGACGGTGTGCCAACGAAGACGCTGGCCCCGTACATTATGAGTGTTAGATGATGAAAATCTCACATGGCTAATTTAGGGAATGATGATGGGTTTATAATCAAGAATATTATTCATTGGCATAAGGCCTTTTGGGGAATTACAAAATAAAGTCACGAGAGTTTAGGCTTAAAGTGGACAATATCATACCATTGTGGAGAATTGTGTTCATCTGACATGAAATCAGAGCGATACCCTAAACTTAGTCGTGCTAATAGATTGACAGTTGTATTCTTAGAACACTCTTATTTCGATGTATTCTCGATTTATTCATGTATCTCTCATTCTACTCAGCCTTTTTTTTTCTTGTGTATTTCTAGATAGGAAAGGAATTAAAAAAAAAATAAAAAGAATAAATTTATGATATATGGGTTATAAAATTTTTGGTACAACACATAAATTATTATTATTATTTAAATAATGAATTTGGATACTTTCCGTACGCATGTGAATGAACTGAATAACTTCAGACGTCTACAATAAAATATTATACTCTGCATCGTTGACTAAATTAAATAATTACTCGTTTACTTTTTTTCCTTTTTTAGATAATACTCGTTTACTTAATTGTCATATTATATATATTTGTCGGAATTTATTTAAATTAACGGCACGTCTTTTGTCCCTGGAATGCCTCTTCTGAAGCTTAGCTTAATTTTTTGTTCTAAAGCAAAAAGTCCCGGGTGGCTGCCTGACGTTCTTCGAACCTATCATATTCAAGAATTTACCCAAAGTTTACATCAGCTCCGAGTCATGATCGGTGGTTGGAGGGTCGTGATGCCTAATATATACTTTAGTGCTTAGACTAGTGTCTAAATCAAACTAATGTCGAGCTACAAAATTAAAGAGGGAGGTGCCGCATACCGTGGCTCGATTTAGACTAAGTTTGATAGATTACGTACTTTATCTATGTTTTGTTCAAAGCTCTTCACAATTGTTCACTCTACTCTGAGTCCATTAATAGAACGAAATGAAATAATGGTGCATAAACAAAGTCCAACTAGTTAAGATAAATGTTTTTAACAAAAACATGTCTGATAACTATCTTCAACTATTTAAGAATGGTGTGGGATCTATAAAATAAAATAATATATCATTAAATGACTAAATGTTGAATGAAAAGAGTCAGTATTGTCGTAGTATGAAAATTTTGACAATAATACGTAAAATTATTTCTTGAAAAATATATAAAAGATCATTGGTCTAGGTGAGTTTCGTAATAATTATGACCCAATCCTTAACCTCTTAATATCGATCTGATTTTTTTTTTTTTTTTTTGTAAGAGAGGTGAATTATTATGAATCCATCCAGGAACCAGACATTATAATTTTTCATCATTAAACTCTATTAAGAGGATATTTTGGAGATATATTAGTTAGAATATATCTTACCTATCAAGCTACAATTCTATTTTCTATTTCTATTTCTTAACAAGCTCGAGCTCAAATCAAACAAACCAACTAGATGCAAATAAAAAAATCAATATCTTATTTTTCAATTAAAAAAAAAATATATAAATTTTTATTAATTTAACAAATTGAGACAATAAATGAATTATATTGTCCAATGATGAATAATCAAAACAATTTGTTTACATTAAAAAATAAAAAGAAATCAAAATAATTTGTTCAAGAGTAACAATTTTGTTCCCCTATCATCACTCATGCATAGCCACACATCCCATAGACGCACAAGCTACCTCTGCTACACTTCTTCTTGCAGCCTCCACAATGGTTCCTATCGAACATCGGCTTCACACACCTTCCATTGCAGCACATCTCGGAGTACTTGCATCTCTTCCCGCACCTCCCACAATTAACTCTGTCCCTCTTCAAATCCACACACTTCTTGCCGCAGCAGCTGCCTTTGCCCCGACACACCTCTACATTCCTATCGCATGTCCTCGGCGCCTGGTAAGGCCTAAACCTGTAAGCGAAGAAGCCCCTCCTGGCCCGAAGCGAGCTAAGTAGCTTTAAAGCTTCCAACCCTTCGTCGTCCTCTAACTTGGCTGCGCCAGACGCGGAGAGAGATGCGCACAAGGCCACCGCAAATAATAGCTTTGCAAAGAAGCTCATTTTGTTGGGTATGAGGGTGTAGAGAAGATGTGGGTATGTATTTATATGGAATGATAGTGGATGAGTCTAAAACAGCGTCCATTAAGAATTGGATGCAAAAACGTGGTGGGCTTTGTTTTGTATATTAGGCAATGAAAAGGAGGTCAACATGTTCCTACACGTCCTTATTTATTATTCTTTCTCTGACCTTCTCCGCAGTTTTCAACTATTTGAATTTTCTCCCTACTTTTTTGATTTCCCATGTTCATGTTAGCTGCTAGACCACTTCTTAAAAGTTCGTGTTTCATAGCTTTAGATTAGCTATGGGGCTCGACGAAAGGGCAAGTATCAGCATGTTGAAACTGATTGGGGTTAGCAGTGAAAGAAAGAGCCCGGCATTCATTTCTTCATTCATATTCATAGCTTAGTCTACTAAAATCAAAGGGGGACCAGCCTCATCGTGGTAATTAGAGGACATCTTTGATCGTTCACCTCTAATGTGACACGTTCCCTCCCTGTTATATGATCAACGGGATCAGTCGTCCAGCATGGCTCTTTTTCTTCCGGGGAGGCAAAGTAGTCCCCTCTACTGATCGAACCCCCTTTCTCTAAGAGGTCTTCGTAAACATGTTAAAGGGCTCCTGTCTTCGGCGGGTCACCTTTCCAAGATTGAGAAGAACATCTGGACAAGGGAAAGCGCAGTGCGCCTGGTGTAAATGGCTTGATTTTTTCATAATATACTATTTCGATCATAATTTTTCTACCTCCAGAAAAAAAAAAAAAAAAAAAGTCTTCCCTTTTTGGCGGTTGTGGATGAGGAAGGATTCAAACCCTCGACACCTGGTTCGAAGCCACGTGCTCTAATCTTTTGAGCTGCAGGCTTCATCACTCCAATAAATCTATGCTCAGGTACCTTGGAAAAGGAACTTTCTCCCCAACCATTTGCCATTTCAGGTTAAGAAGATGTGAAAGCCTCCCTCTCTATGAAGATTTCATTTAAGTTTATAATTCAACCCAAATTTTATCGAGATTGGATTGGGTTGATCGAAGAACACTCCATATACATCTTGTCAAACCTTATAGCCACGACTTAATATGACGACTAATATGAGCTTGATTGACAATGACAACGACCCTTATAATGCATTATATCAAACGAGTTGTTTCATATGAACAAGAGGAATCCATTAATCAAAACAAGATTATAAACGAAAACAACATCAACTTAAAACAAATCCATTAATTCATTGATATATGAAATTAATCAATACCAATAACGAATAATCAAAACAATCCGCCGTTATTTACGCGTAGCCGCACATCCCATAAACGCACGAGCTTCCTCTGCTACACTTATTATTGCAGCCGCCACAGTTGTTCCTATTAAACATTGGATTCACACACTTCCCTTTACAACATATCTCCGAGTACTTACATTTCTTCCCACACTTCCCGCAATTGTATCTATCCGTCTTCAAATCCACGCACCTTTTCTTGCAGCAATTGCGCCCACGGCTGCCCTTGGCACGGCACACCTTGATACTCCTATCGCATGTCACCGCTGCCTGGTAAGGCCTATACCGATACGAGAAGAACCCGCCCCTCCCCCACACCGATGTAACCTTCAAATCTTCTTTGGCTGCATGAGCCATGACAAGAGGCGCTAACAAGGCCAAGGCCAAGGCCACCACGAACAAAAGCCTTACAAAACTCCTCATTTCTAATGGATTTGTAATGGATTTGAGATTGTAGAGAAGATGGGTATATATATATATATATATATATAGGCAAATTATAGTGGATGAGTCTAAAACAGCAACGATTAAGAGTTGAATTAAAACGTGTTAGGCTATAATTAGGCAAGCAAAGACGAGTTCTTCATGAAGCTTTTTGTGATATGAACAAATTAAAAGACGCTAACCAAGCACTAACTTTTATTTTTTATTTATTAATTATAGATTCTGTGTTTGACCTTCTCATTGTTTTAATATTATTTGAAATTTCTCCCATTTAATTTGTTCATGTTTTCTTCCCTTTTTTTGACCTTTGATTTGTATTTGATTTGAGTTTTCATACCCACTTTTTTGAATCTTCACATGGAGGGTCAAATCTTGCCTTTTAAAGTTTATGATTTTACTATCTTTTATGAATTATTAGAAGAACCGTTTGAGAATTTGTACTTTTATGTTAGAAATGGTTTCATACTATTAATACTCAATCTGCCATGGCTACATGTTAAGTTATAGTTACCGTTATTTTAGATTCAAATTATGGATAAAATTCTAGACCTGAAGCGTTAATGTAAGAGAATATTATGCTACGTATCTTGAGACTACTTGTATAATTAGATCTATTCTACTGCGTATCTTGAAATTATTTTATGCATGTTATGACTCGAAATAACTATGTTGTAGGTATTGAGATTATTCTATGATAATATGACCGAGAGTTTTTAGTTCAAATTTGGTGAGTTTATATCATCATGAATTCTTAAATTGTTTATCATCTATATCGTGTTACAAAATTTAATTTTGTTATATCATTTGTTGCTGTTTATTTTCTTTGATGTTGGTAATTAAAGTTTATACTTAAAGAATAAGCTCTCCTTGCCTAGACGGAGACGGGGACAGAGATGGAGACGAAGAATATAGTGTTTGTCCTACTCTCATATAACTAACGGAGAGAAATTTATTATTATTATTTTTTATTACACTACAATAATCTATCCATATATTTATTTTATTTTATTTAAGTTTAAAATTATTTTTTAATTATTTATTCTCTTATGACACTTAAGTCTTTAGTATTTTTTTTAAAAAAAATATATATTGAAATTACATTTTACTTTTCTTAAAAACAACAAATTTGAATTAATGATCCAAACAACTCGATCCAATTTAATCTATAAACACTCAATACAAAATTTTATCTCGAACTATAGATTAAAATATTTGTAATGACTCATGTCCAAGATTCAGAGTTCAAATTCGACACTTGGTGGCCCCAGACATAACACTTACCTACTCATCGCTTCTTAAGAGTGAAGTTTATCACCACATACCAACATGAATCCTTTTAGCATACTTTATCATCACTCACATGCATTCTAAAAAAAAGCATAGAAGATCATCCAACGTAAAATTGTTCTAAGTAAACCATGTTTAGCCATAGAATTTTCATGATTAAGCCATCGAAAACGAAGGTACACTTTATTGGTATAAGCAAGAACTTTCAATTCTTTTAAGTATTTCTTAATCGATCCTATCTTTATGATCGCTCTCATTCAAATATGGTCTCAATTCATTTATGTACATCTCATTTACTCGGGTGTCACAATATAAGACGAATGAATTTGAATTGGTAGAAAATTGGTGATATAGCATTGATAATTATGGATATTTGTGGTGGTGGGGGAGTAAGTTGACCATTTGCTGGGAGTTGTACGAAATTATAAAATAAAAGTGTGACGCTGGGAAAATAGATAAATCAAATACCATTGCCCTTTGCCTTTTCCCTGTCTCTAAAGCTCACCTAAGCCCCACAACAAAATTTCTCGGTCATCGTAGATACTCGTTCTATTCAATGTCTACCTCACAACGTGGGTCTATTAATATTAAAATTTAGGAAAGAAATTCATTTTTTTCTTAAATTTACACCATTGTCGAAGTTAAACTTAAATAAGTGTGACAATTTTTACCCTCAATTCAATCTTCACTAATTCTTCTAAGGTGAAAGTCTTAATTAACTCGTTAATTTTTAATAAAATAAAGTTTAACTCGTTAGTGGTATTTGGAACGATAACGAATTAGAGAGTTAACATTGCATCCCTAGTCTAGCTCAAGCTTAAAATTTGAATCCAAAATCTTCTCATTCTGCCCAATCTTTCCTATGAAAGTCAAACCCACTAAAATAAACCCAAACCCTTTTCCCCGTTTGTCTTTTCAGAGGAGTTTAGAGACAAAGAAGTGTAGTTCCTGAAATTCCCTCTTCATGAGCCCAACTTGGGCTACTTTGACTTGTTCTGTCACCACTTGTATATAAAACCAACCCAGCTCCCTACTTCTGCTATGAGTGTCATCATCGTCGTCGTCCTCAAGTCTGCTGAAACATGGAGGGTTCAATCAATATGTCTGCTAATGGGTTTCTCTTGGCTGCTCTGTTTCTGTTCTGTTTCTTGGGATTCTCTCATGGACATATCCACTTTTCGTCTCTTCCAAGAAGTTTGGAGGTCACTGCTTCGCCTAAACCTGGACAAGGTAAGATTTTTCCGCTCCACCAATTAGATATCTTGTAACATTTCTCTAATGCACGCATTATGTAAACCTTGAGAAAGTCAAAAGGGAAAGTTTAAAAGGAGAATATCTACACTGATGAATTCATTACCAATAATATTAGAGCTAGACACTCAATGATTTGCCAATGAGAAGGCTGGACTACGAATGAGGATGAACACAAGATTGAAGGGGATGGATAGGAGACGGTGTGACAACAAGAACGCTAGATTCCAAAGTGGTGGATTTGGGAGTGGATTGTGTGATCACTGAAGAGAAAAAGTTTTAAAAACTTGAAGGAAAGCATATGATCTGAATCCAAAATTGGAACTTTACCCATTTCTAACAACTGGGTTGTCTTTTTTTAATGCAGTTCTCAAAGCGGGTGTTGATAAAATCAGTGTGACCTGGGTTCTAAACGGGACTGTCAAATCTGGGTCGGATTCGAGCTACAAGACCGTCGAGGCGAAGCTCTGCTACGCGCCGGTGAGTCAAGTGGACCGGGCCTGGAGAAAAACAGAGGACGATCTCTCAAAGGACAAGACCTGCCAGTTCCTCATTGTGGGAAAGCCGTACAATCCGGCGAACAAGACCGTACAAAAGTTCGAGTGGACTGTGGCGCGTGACATTCCAACGGGAACTTTCTTCGTCCGGGCCTACGCTTTCAATTCCGCCGGCGAGGAAGTGGGCTACGGGCAAACGAGTGACAACAAAAAAGGCACAAACTTGTTTCAAATCAAAGCGATCACAGGTCGCCATATCTCACTTGATATTGCCTCTGTTTGCTTCAGTGCTTTCTCTGTGCTGTCTTTGTCCGGATTCTTCTTAGCCGGCAAGAGAAAGACCAAGAAGGCAGAGGCGCCGGGACAGTAAGTTAACAAAGATGGAAACTTGCTCTGTTTCTGAGTTCTTTTTTTGAAGTCTTTCTGCATTTTGGGTTTCTCTTGTACTGTAATTTTCTAGGTGAAAAGATGGAAAATAAAGTGTATTAAATTATGAATGTGTTGATTAATGACAATATTTGAAGATATTGGACTTTAGCTTCAATGGAACACAAAAGGTTGCAACACTCCAACCTTAGAACATGGTGGAGTACAAGTTTACTATTTCTGTCTTTTCATTTTTCTACCACTAAGATATTAGATATTTTGTTTGTTGGTGAAAGTTCTCTCAATGTCATATGACTTTTGAAACCAAAAAGAAAGATATCTACACTCGTTAGAGGTCCAAAGTTCAAATCTTCGTATCTATATTTGTTGTACTAAAAAATCTCTGCCAGTTGATAACTCTCATATATCAAATAGTAAAAAAAATTGTCGATTTCATGACAGAAAATAAATCAGATAGATTATAAATGAGAAGTTAATAATGCATCTACCATCATCTAATTTCTTTCCCTACTATGCTACTAGAAAATGATGTACATGTTTTACCCATTTAGTATTTGGGAAGACATCAACTACTCGTAATAGTTTGAAGTAAAGAAAATAATAATAAAACGGTGCATAGTAGTTAGCAATAAACAAAAAATTCGAAACCATTTTTCGTTTTCTTTCTCCACCACATATTTGACAAGGGAAAAGTTGAGGGCTCCTCAGCCATTTCTACAAGGGAATGTAACTTAAAATTTCGTAGTTTTCCCTTTTCAAATGGCTATATACTTATGACCATGAAATATATACGTCATAAGATGATTTATAATGTAGATGTTAAAGGGTCTGTAATGCAGCCAATCTCACTGTCACAAGTTCGATCGGAATCGAAAGGCATTCTTGAGCTGCTCATTCGATCTATAGCAATAAGATACAGTCCATCATTGTAGACGTCGATGTGTCCGAACGCGTCGCTGCCAGGGGGACACTCAAGGGCTGCTTCAAGAACTCTATGATGTATTCCATGGGAATCAATTGTATATCCACCTTTATGATCGTGCCCAGCCAGGCAAACTTTGACACAATTGTAATTGTGTATCAGGTTCATTACTTCGTCGTAGTTCCATAGAAGTGCTTCAAAAGATGTTGCCCCAGGATCTAGGGGCAGATGACTGCAAACAATCACCTTTTGTTTTAAATGTGTTGCTTCCTGAAGTACACCATCTAACCATTTCAATTGTTCTTTACCAACTCCTCCATTGAACATAAGGTATCTTCTTTCTAAGCCAATCAATCCTGATGGGCTATTCTTGTCTGCATTTGGGTTTCTCTGGGATAGAATTTGGAGGGCCTCCATTGAGTTTGGATGATCCTGAGGCCAACCAATAACACTTATATCATAACCATCAAGTACGACGAATCTGAAATTCGAAGTAGGCGAGAAGTCGTAATAAGCATGACCTCCATCAAGTTTTGAAATCTTCAATAATGGAAGTAATTCTTTGCGTGGAAGATTGTAGAGGCAGTGGTTTCCAATCATATGATATACCAGACCATTAAACTTATCAAATTCACCAACTACTTTCTTTACAGAGCTGAGAGATTGGTCCTTGGGGCAAAATCCATCAACAATGTCTCCAAAATTTAGGACGAATTTAAGCTTTTGTTGGTTGTTCCAGTTTTGCACTGCTCTTTGCAGTACATTAATACTATGTCGATAATAACGGGGAGTGCCAAGGAATGAGCGACCATCAGGAATATCTGCATACTGAACATCGGAGATAACACCGAAAGAAAATAAAGGCTGCCTTCCTTGAACACTTCCTATTCCACTCGCAGATGCCATATTGTAGTAAACACGTGAATCCTATCAGAACAGCATGAATTATAAGAATAAGATCCCATAAAAGAATTTGTTGAAGAAACAAATAACAGTTATTTGGCCACAAGTTCGAGAATTGGTCACCATGCAATTAAAAGAACCAGGCACTAATAACGAGAGTCCAGAGAGTTTCCTATGGCTATGTGAACGTCTAGGTAACAAATGTGACTCTAAATTTTATAAGTAAAATCCTAGCAAGTATAGGAGGAATAGGATGAAAATTATTGACAAACCATGGTACGGTAAACCTTTTCATTTATTATCATGGTCGTCTTCGACTGAACAAAAGCTTACCCCCTGATAATGCCTTGCATATGTATCTAGTATCTAACATCAGGCACCATGTGCTTTTCTATGGCATGGCTGTTCTAGTAGGCCTGTCTCATGTGGTACCAAAGCAGCAAAGCCTAAAGCATGCTACACTATCAGGGTCTTTCTTTCTTTCTTTCTTTCTTTCACCTCTTTATGTGGGATTTTGTTTTTCTTTTGAGGTAAAGGTTATGAATAAAAGATAACTATAGGAGAAAAAGAAGTCCTTTCCTTTTCCTTAATGTGCTGCCATCTGTTTTAGAGATAAAAGAAAGAAGAATAGAGACTTCGCGAAGGGGCCTTATTCTCAATTCTCCAGACTTGGAATGACAGAAATAAACTATTGGACAGCCAATTCTTTTATCAAAAAATAATTTCAAATGAAATTTCAAGGCACAAGACATCAAAATGAAAGGAATGAAGGATACATGTTATAGAAAATCTCCCCAAGTAACTTGTCAGGTGTAAGATTTTGGATTGGAGAGGAAAATGAATGCCAGTGAGGACGTTGGGCCTTGAAGGGGGGTGGATTGTGAGATCCCACATCGGTTGGAGAGGGTAACAAAGCATTCTTTATAAGGGTGTGAAAACCTCTATCTAGCATATGCGTTTTAAAACCTTAAGGAGAAGCCCAAAAGGGAAATCTCAAAGAGAACAATATTTGATAGCGGTGGGTTTGGATTATTACATCATCACTCTTCTCTCACGTAGAAAAAGAAGACAGGGCAAACGAAAGGTTAGAGATCAAAAAAGTCTGGATCAGTACTACGGTGAATTCAAAAGTTTTCTGATGCAAGGAGTTGTCAGACGTAACACATGTGGAAGAAGAAAAAGTTATGAACTAGAAGCTTCATCTTCATTCGTCACATCCAAGTATAAAGCCAACAAGCATTCGATGCACTCTTGCATGGAATAATTTTCAAGGAAAAGTAGACACAGAGCATTTCTTTTAACTTGATAAAATAAATCAACATCTGAATGAAAACAATCTTACCAAGCAAACTACTACCGTCAATTCACAAGAATGTTGTATACTTGTTCAAAATTATACCTCAATCATCAATCATTGAGCTCAGACAAAATAGCTAAGGCATTCTAAATTCTTCTGCTAATAACTAAACAGAACAGGTAAACCCCTATCGTGAAAACCCTAAAACCTAGAAGGACAGAAATCAGATAGTAGGACAATAGCCAGGGTGTTTTAACTCGAGAAAGTTCCCAATGCAGCAACATATCGATCAATAAACCATTCAACTCGAAACTCGAAATCAGAAAAAAATTCTTGAACAACAAATTGAAAGCTAATCATGAAGAAAGAGATGAAATCTCCAGGCATTATGCTTAAAAAAACCCCAGATTAAGCCGAAAAGCTCTGTGAATAACGTAGAACGTCAATTGCACATTAGACGAGATAAATTAGAGAGAAAAAAATCAATCACTTCGATGAGATGACAAGAAAGAGTGAAGAATCGGAGGGAAAATTCGCAACTCAAATTACCTGATTCCTTAGAGAATTGAAAAAGAGAGAAGAAAATCAACAATGGGTCCTTCAGCCAAATTCCGAGAAATAAAACTATAGAAGAAACAGAATGAAGAAAGTTCTGATGAGGGTAGTTGTTAAAATCAAACTGACCGAAATATCCTCAAATAAATACCCTAATGACTACATTACCCTTTGACGCCTAACCCGTGTCGGTTGAACACGTGCTTACGTGGTCCAATGAAATTAATAAAATAGTCAGCGGCTCGAATATTCTTAATTCAATTTCTTTTGAATCGTGGGTCCCACAAGTTACATTATCTCGTGCCTTCTCACGAGGAATGGTCGACTTTTAATGTAAAAATGAATATTTTTTTCTTTTTAATTAATTAAAATTTTTAAATTTTAATCATTAATTACCTAAATTCGATCTTATTTTGAAATATTTGACAAATTGTAGGTCAAGTTAAATATATTTTTTAAAAAAGAAATAATGACAATTATTAATAACTAAAATGATTTTTTTTGTACAAAATATAAAATAACAAATAATTAAGATAAATTTACTCAAGAATTTAAATTTTATTTTTATAATTTTATATGAACAATTTTTATAATTGGTATATGAGTTGTTCATTGAATCATTCTTACATTGTATAATAAATGCAATTTATTATGAGGGCGGAGAATAGAGTGAAGTGACATTCCACAAAAGGTAAAATTGAGTGTGTGAAATCCCACATTGATTGGAAAAAAGAACGAAACATTCTTTAAAGGGTGTGGAAACTTCTCCCTATCAAACCTGTTTTAAAAACTTTGAAAGGAAAGCCAAAGGAAAAAAAGCCTAAAGAGGACAATAACTACTAACAGTGAGCTTGAATTGTTCAGGCTTGGGCTGTTAAGTGTGTTTCCGTTAGCTCAAGGAAAGTCAAGATTCAGTCTCGAAAAGTCTGAAGGAGTTGGAAGATTGGTAAGAAGTGTATAGGGAGGGACGTTCATGTGAAAACGAGAGTCTTAACCTAAGGGTACAACCATTTTTTGAGTCTTTCAAGAACTCATTGAATCTATATAAATATAACTTAGTTCTGTGTCACACGGTCAAGAGCTGTTACAAATCTATATAAAAGGTTAAGTAAATCATACTTGATCACCTAAAGCTACTAGATTTAGTAGTGATTAAAGATTTATGTGAGGTGATACATAAATGGTTGTGTTATTCAGGGAAAAACTTAGCTCAGAAGAGAGAATGATTCCACATGTTCTTGGCTCAACAGCAGCGGATGAGAAGAAACTAGCATGGATTGACTTGCTAAAACTGTCCCCATTGCTAATGCCGATTGAGTATCTGATGAACAAGTTTCTCTGGCAGCTGTTTTGAAGCCTGAAAACATGAACCAGTGAAGGAGAATCCCAGACCAAGTATGGTTCATACAAGTGAACAGAGGGGGAATCTAAGAGGTAATGGATTCAATGAAACAAACCTGGAAATCTCTCATG